TGCATCATCGGCGGATGCGCGAGCCCGCGAGCCATCACGATTGGCACTCCGCTGCAGTGATACGGACTCCCAAGAGACAGATCCGAGTGGCAGCGCTGCCTGCTTGCGCACACGCTGAGAGGTGGTGGGTGTCAAGTCTGCTTGTGTGGTTGACGAAGCAGCAGGTGGAGATGCCGGTGTCCCGTGTCCTGCTCTTCCCCTACCCCTTCCCCTGCCTCTTCCTCTTGCTCTCCCCCCGCCTCGTTCACTCATCGTGTGCTCCAATCTTTTGGCTCGTCGCTACGCGCCTCACAAGTCTCTCTAATCCTCCTTGACGTACCTACTCCTCAACGTCCTATATTTCTTCAAAAAATAAAGCGTCTCCGTCTCCTTTCTCACAAACTCTCCAATGTCCAAAAACTTTTGCACCTCCTTCTCATCCGTCAAGTGAGCGTTTGCAAAACTCGTCCTTCGAAGTTTGCCCAGGAAATCGTACTTTGGATCGGGATAGTCTCGACCTAGTCGGTGGAGCGTCTTGTAGAGCCCGATTGCGCGAGCTCGTAAAGGATGGCCGATCGGCGGCATGGCGTAATGTTGGACGACAGTGCCCGCCAAGGTCGGTCTTTGAGTGAGCGAGCAGGCGAGATGGATAAGCGAGGCTGGAGATGGCAAGGGATGGGGGGAGGGCGAAAGGGCAGCTTGTGTGTGCTCCCATGCAACGCCGGCGCTCACTTGCACCCACGGGTGGAGTCGTGAGTCACACAAGTTTCGTCGGCCCCGCGCGGCACATCGAATCACGTGCGGCGGCGCCTAGACACAGACGTGTTGTTCAATTGCACGCGCCGTCAGCCAAACGCGCCGCACCCTTCGCCCGATGATGTGTGATGCCTTGACTTTCTGACTCTCTCGCATCGCTCAGATGACATGCGCCCCAGCGTCACTTCAGATCACAGCGGACACAACAGCATCAAAGAACCTTCCCTCTTATGACCAACGAGTGTAGGGTGAGATTACAAGAGACTTCTTTGGGGATAAAGAGATTCTATTATGCAATGAGAAGCCAGCACTGGAGCGGCTCTTTAGGCGTGCTCAGTGTCGCGTGGTGCGCTCGACTCAAGCAGCCTTGACAGCAAGCAAAGCGCAGTGTTGTCCGCCAGCCGTGGCATCGACCGCCTTGTACCCAGCAAACTGTTTGGATCTGATAGGCGTAGGCGTGACGACGACCTCTTCATCTCCCTGTCCCAACTGCGCCTGATTTCCGAATCCCCAAGAGTAAGGCGTTCCATCTGCCGCGACAGCAATGTTGAACCTGGGTCCAGCAACAATCTTGACGATCCTCGTCGGTTTGCCATCCACGGGAGAGGGTGGGAAAGGAATGTGGACGGGACGCGGGACGTACTCGTCGGGAGGAGGACCTAGCGTAGGTTGCATGTCTCCCTGACTCATCACCATACCCATCACCCCCCCTCCATCCCCAGCAGCTTCCTGTCGAAGTCGCTTCTCCTCCATCCTCTTTTGCCACTCTACCATCTCCTGAGCCAATTGCGCTTCTCGTTTAGCCTTCCACTCTTCTCGCCTTTGCAACACTTCCAACTTGGCCGGATGATCATCTGCCAAGCCTAGTTCGCACCCGTCGCATCGTCCCGTCCCAAACACCCTGCCATCAGAGAGCAGAAATAGCGAATGATGCTCGCCTCCCGTGACAGAGACCACTTTGGCTCCTCCTAGTTGGACCGGCGAGAGTGTAGGAACGACGGTAGGCATGGGAATAAAGTCGGTCTGAGATTCCGATTCAATGCCCAGCTGGTTCAGACTGTTGAGCCCCCAAGCTAGCACGTTGCCGTTCTTGTCGATGGCAAAGGAGTGATAAGCTCCAGCTCCGACGTGCACAATATCCTTGAGGTGAAGCTTTTCGGGCGTCAATCCATTGATCTTGAACCTTTCGATGATCCTTCGTCCAAGTTGGTACTGCTGGCCATTACCCCACGTGTAGACGTGGCCCTTGCTGGTCAGCGCAACCACGTGGTCCGCGCCGCATACAATCTCGCAGAATGAATTCTTGCCCAGACCTGGCAACGAGACTGGGGTGAATTGCATCTTGACTGTGCCGGTTCTGCCATCGAAGCCCATAGGACCATCGTTGGACTGTAAAGTCAAAGTGGAAGCAGTGTCAGTCTCGCAAGTGTGCGCTACTCGCGCTGCAGCATCACTAACCCTGAAGCTTCCCCATACCCTGACCTCGCCATTGCTATTCAAAGCGGCACTGACGCTGTCTCCAGCAGCAATGCGAACAGCTCTGAAAGTCTCCACCTGTCCCTCTGTACCTCCAAGAGGCAATGGTCCAGGTAGCAAGCCTTTGCCATCCGGTGACAACCCTTCCACAGGCATGGGCCGAGTCTCGTACACTTCCGCGTCTACACCAGGCTGACGAGTCGTAGATCGTCCGAGTGCTGCGTTGTCGTTGATGCCCCACGTCAAAATCTGGGCGTGAGGTATTGCGCAGGCGAGACGCTGCATGAGCTAATGTGGATCTGTGCACAGTCCTCTCCGGAACACGACCTACGTACCCTTCCGAGATTATCCACTGCCAGGGTGTGCATTCCACCCGCGGCAATCTGTTCAATACCAAGCGATCCAATCTTCTTTTGCGCATTCATCTCGTTGAATCCCACGTGCAGTCTCGGTCTGACAATCTCTCCAAGCGCATCTTCTCCCAATCCATTCTGTCCCATGTCTCCTGTACCGAACACAAAGACCTGCACGGGCGAAGAGGATGAGCTGCCTGTTTGGACGATGGGTTGAGGGAGCGCATTCATGCCGATTACGGGCACAAATTGGCGAAGCGACTTGAGTGAAGCGGCAGCTTTAGATGTTCCGGCAGGCTGCTGAGAGGCCGCTCGAGTCCTGCTTTGTTGTTTAACAGGAGCTTGAGAAGTTGGAGCAGTGGAAGACGCTCTGCCTTTTCTGCTCGCAGGTCGAGCAACTTCCTCCTCCTCCTCCTGCTCCACTGGCATCATCTCCACATCCGTCGTGATAGTTGCGGATACTACAGGTGCTGCAGGTGCATTCTTGAGTACATTCTTGGAAGCTCCTCGTTTAGCTTTCACCTCTCGAGTGGCAGTCACTTTGCTCTCGGGCTCGACCGAAGCGGCTGCTGCACTTCGCTTGACACCCCTTCCAGTGCCGATTGCCGCAGCTGGCGCTGGAGCGGCTGTGGTGGACGCTTTACGAGGTGGCATGATGGCCAGGGTTGCAACAGAGACCTAATCTAGGGATGAAGCCTAAGCTCGCAGTGTCGGAAAGGTATGAAGTGATGATGTGCGTTGAGGATCAGCAGGGGTCGAGATGGGTGGTGCCCAGGGTCAATCTGTGCGTCGATGATGGGTGTGGGTGGGTATGAGCAGCATGGATGCATGGGAAGCTTGCGCATCAGCAAATTCGTCTCGCTCTTCTCTGGAGGTCACGGCGCTGAATCACCTCGATCGCACGACGCACGCTGCCTGGGCTGGGCTGGAAGATCAGCAGCAGTTTAAATCGA